TTTGTCCTTGACAAGAATATCATATTCAATTTGCCCTAACTTAGTATGTCCATACTGTAATGATTAACCATAATGAATAATGGTTGATAATAAACTTTTTTTTTCCTGGGCAATGGGTTGTGCCAGTCCTTTTACTTAGATGGCATGTGGCAGGTTAAATGATCAATTAATATTTAGATAGATATTTATCTGTAAATACTACATCACATCTTATATACTACTGTGATTCATATTTTCTTTGTACAACCCTTGCTGAACACTGCATTATCTCTTACACCACTAGAAATGTTTCAAGGCCCAACATTAAATTACAACATCTGGTGATGTTTTTTCCATTGCCACTATCACCATGTCTGAAACCACAATCTTGTCCATCACATGTAGCCCTTCATTTCCATATTATATTTTGAAATTATTTTTGTTTCTCCTGTTTGACACAATGTGTGACTCCAGGAGATACAATGTCATTGTGGCCTTTCAACGCTAGACACGTAAAATGATTTTAATATATGTAATAATGTTCTCAAATGACTTCTTATGAACCTGCACAACTACTCTGTTTTAGCTTTATAGCTCCTTTGTATCTGTATGCTTATTCAAGTTTTAAAATTACAAGATGTAGTAGCTACAGAGTCAGTGCATTTGATGAGAACAAATCGTTGGATGTATCCAGACCCCCCCCCCCTCATGAATAAAGCATAAAAGACAATAAGCTAAATATGGAAGTGATGAGGCCAAAGAACTTCTTTGGGAGGAGCATCCAAGGTGACAGTTGTGAGATGAAATTATATTGGTTTCGGAGTTTCATTGAACTATTGTAGATAAAATAAAGTACTAGAAATGCTCAGATTCAACTGAAAAGGATTGTTGTTGTTAGAGAAAAGCATTGGCAGTAAGACACCCAAGTCTCACGAGATGCCAGTATATTTTAGATGAAATAACAGTAATCAGTATTGGCTGACCTAGGACTTGGAAAAGGATCTCATATTTCAAAAATACATGAGAATGACAAGAAGAGAAGGGAGAGAACAACTTATTGAAGAGCAAAAGGTGGAAAGATTAAGATGAAGGGTATAACACAGGAAATTTCTTAAAACAGGAGGGAGGGAAGTAGTGGAGGGAAGGGATCCATCACTTGCAACATAAAACTCCAACATGATAAGTATATGTTAGGAGAGCAAGGATATAAGGTATTCATAATTTTCTTTTGCCAATTTTTTCATTTTTTATTATTTTTAGAAATTGCAAGTGCTCCCTTATTTATAGAATGGTCTTTGTTTTTATTTTGTTTTACTCAGAACTTTGCAGTGCAGGTACAAATTTATAATAAAAACAAACAAACAAACAAGACCCATTTGTATGTGTCAGCTGATAATTTCACACAATGAAAAGGCAGTGCTGTCTTTGTGGACGTCTGTTTTTTTTATAAAGATTGTCAGTGGTACTGTTAAGCCAGCTTCTCAACGAGAATGGTAGCATAATACTTACTAACTTCTATGTAGTACAAATAGTCACGCCACTTACCACTAATGAGTGAAGTTGTGAGAGAGATTATCTTTACATACCAGGTATTACCCTTAAGGATGGAAAAGGCATGATAGAAAGAAACTGAGAAGACTGAAGTTTAGAACTTCATTATGCTCTTATCACTAAGCAACTGAGGTTTACTTTGATTATTTAGCAGTACTAAATATTTAAATTATGATTTGCTGATAATATGTAGACCAGAAAATAGTAATATTATGCAATGCTTTCTTTTGTTTATTTGTGAGAAGATCAAATGTCTTTGTTTAAAGTAATTACTAATCACACCAGAAAAAATTCCCAACATTTTTCATTCATTAACTTACTGGATACCTTTAAACTCATAAACTGCTCTGAGGTTACTCTATCATCATCACTTCCACTCCAATTTAATTCCGCTATTTAATATTTTCTGCAAACGTTGTCCACCCGGTAACATTTAAGAACATTGACATTATTTATTGCAGCCCTTTCACTCTCTTGGAATGGATTCTTTCTTCCAACCAGAGAGAATGAAATAAATTAACTATCTTGTACAAAATACCCCAACTAAGCAGAAAGCAGAGTACCTATAGGAAAAGGGGTTTGATTTAAAGAGCTGCATGAACTAAGCAAAGCCACATGAGAAGTACCATCATATCCTAAGTAAAAAGTCAGTTGTACTAATGTTGCACACTGCACCAAGGTGGATAGGCAGAGCTATCTCTCACTAGGAAAAATAGACTTAATTGCTAGTACTATATAAACTTGGCCCATACCTTATCAGAGGATAACACAATCATACTTTGGTTAATCTAGTTGTGGTTAACCTCACTGGATATCATAATGATTGCATAGTTTTTTTTCATCTCAGAGTGGTCACAAATTTGTTGTAAAAGGAGCAGCCTAATGAGGCCCAACAGGTGAATTACTTATTGAGAAGGAAGGAGGTACACAATTGTCCCATGATAGGTTTAGAGTGCAAAGCAATATAGGG